ATTGGCTATCGGATATCAAAAATGACAGGTTATCGGATATTACTTATGGAACCGACATGGTGGATCAAATTTTAATCGTTTATGGCAGGTTATCGGTTTTGACAGGATCAGTTTTGGGAGGGCCGACAGTAGTTATAAGCGATTCACAGTTTTTAGAATCCCACTCATTAAGATCAGATAAGGACTAGTTGTACTAAAATTCTGTAAGGAATTTTTGTTAGGACACGAAAGGTGAATTTTTTTGATCTCCTGGAAACTCATTACATGATCAAATCACGACATGAAGAAAAAATTAGAGCTCCCATTCATTCGAATCTTATGTGTAAGTAAAAAAAAAAAAAAGGCTAGTTTTATGATCGTTTTCTGTCAATAATAAAAGAACTATCAATAAATTAAAAATATACCAACGATACATGTAAAGTAAAATTTATTAACCTAACTATATGTGTGAATGTTACAAATGAAAACCTGTGACTGGTCATAATAAATTATTATAATTACAAGTTTTCATTCTGCAGAACAAATTATAACTCAAAGTTGTTATTCGTAAAGATGCTTTAGTGCTACCTTATAATTTTACAAATTGTCGCCAGATTTAACAAGATATAAATTAGAACTATTCAGAATTAAGTCTGATGGTTGAAACACGCCTATATATGGCTTCGTTCCAATGGTTATAGCATCTAGACTTACCCACTGCAAATCTATTGTATAAGTAAATCCGGGACCTCCACTATCACCATGTTTAACAAAATTTTGAATATTAGATTTTGCAATAATTAAATTCGTTGTAATTTGATCATTGCTAACAGTAAGAATACCATTGAATGCTATAATTTCTCCACAGTTAGTTTCTGTGACACGACCAGCTTTACATAAATGTGCACCATGGCTCTGCAAACCTTTATTACCTGCTATATATAATTCTTTAACAACTCTTACGTCTGATTCGGGATCTTCTGGATTAATAAATTCACGATGTATTATATTCGGTGAGTGTTTGATATTCTCAAATTGCGTTTTGATTAACCCATATTCGATTGGGTCAAGTTGAGAATATTCTGCAATACCAATAAAATACTGGCTAAAACCATTGATTTGAACAGCCGCATAATACCGTTGGCCATAAACAGATTGACTAAAACAATGTCCCGCAGTTACTAAATAATCACCGGTTGCATTTATTGCCCTAAAACCCGCCGTACAACGGCCAGTAAGTGCATTAAGTGAATGGAATATAACATCTCCATTAAAGAACTTAATATTTATATCACGAGATTGTATATTACGTTTACTTCCAGGTGGATATAAGTAAACATTTCTTGCATCCCTTGCTTTAAAATTTGCTGAATAATGATTAGTCCTATTCTTAAATACAATTTCTTCATTTAAGTGCCTAAATTGCATTAATGAACGACGTTTTTTAGGAGGAGTTGTGAACTCTGTGATTGGCTTATATTTCCTAATAGCCTTCATAAATTTGTCATCATTCGTACTATTATACCCGAAATATATAACTACATCATTTCTCAAAACATCAATGTAAATTAAAACATCTCTTACGAAATATTTTGGGTTGCGTATTTTTTCCACTATTTTTTCAAATTTTATTTTTAATTGAGAAAGATTATTTGACCTGGATGCTTTTGAAACCATCAATAAATCTCTGTATGGTTCCAATTCTATTGAATCTCTTATAATCTCATTAGCCTTTTTGGAATTCACAGCATAGACATAAATCTTATTCTCTTTAGCACTTATAAAAGACCCACCAAAAATTGAATCGTGTTTATTTAGCAATGGTTGCAATAATTTATCCAAGGCTGATAAGAATTGTTCGTCACTTAATAACTTGGGCAATCTTGTCTCATTTACACGCCAAAATTCTGCCAACGGTTCTCGTGCATGAATCACCGAATGATTTTTTAATGTAGAAATTAATAATAATAATAACAATAAATAACTGTTTCTCATGATTATATGCTAGTAAATGCTGTTAATAAAATGACGTTTATTGAAAATTAATATTATTACTATCAATTTGGAATAAAGATACGAAATAATGCTGATATAATCTTAATACTGAACAAATAAACATAAAAAGTGTTTGAAATTAAAACTGTTACATTTATAGAGAATTGTCTAACACGTATTACACATGATATCTGTAATAAATCATAATGAAATGGGATTAAAATGAAATGATGGGTTTCTATTTGAGCCCTTCAAACCACTTATACTTGTTTATTATAAAATCTGATTCTAAATCTAATCCTAACCTAAAAAAAAATGCTAAACAAAATGCGCCCCAAAAATTTGTATTTTTCGGTGGCTTGTCTATTTTACACCATTTCTCATTTCATTTTTATCTGATTTCATTTTAATCTGCCACAATAAATAATAGTCAGAAAATAAGCAAAAATTAAGTTTGTGATAAAATGTATAGGAGAGGGTGAAATGAAGTAAATTTATAAAGGAAATAACTAGCAACGAATAATACATTTTACATTCCGGCTTAATGCAAAGATTTGACGTTATCGTAAACAGGAAATAGACGATTGGCGTCCCCATAAAAAAGGAATTGCTTCAAAAATATACCGTAAAATCTCGAAATAGCGGGCATGGGCGTTATTTCGAAAATCGCGCCCCCTGAAAATAGCATTTGTAGGTCCTAAATGACGCCTATGCTCGCCCCAAAATAAAGCGCACCCCACTATTATTTATTTTGAAAAAAGTCAGGTTCAAAAATAGGGATGCTAAAAAGTCCGTTCGGTCCTAAAAAGTCCGTTCGGTCCGACCAAGCTCCGGTTCTTAAAAAGTCCGGGTCTAACTTAGCACTTTAACATACAATATAGATAATCTTGAAAACAAAATGCCAAAAATATTCATTATTTCCTTTTATTAAATTTTATCTGGACTAGTTTCA